CCGATGAGACAGCTGACACACCGGCCAACACACCACAGCTGTTGTGGTGGCCTGAAATGACAACGCGGCATGCTCACAATCAAATCACAGATTTCTTGTAATGTGGCTATTCTGATCCATCTGTATATTTTCCTCCTGTTTTTCTCCTTTCATTCATTATGTCCTCTACTCTTTTATTCATTCGTTGGTTTATTCTTCCCTTCCATTCATCCCTAAACTTCATAATATTCATTGATTCTTGTAAACCAGGAGTCTCAAACTTACGACCGGCGTGTCAGTTGCGGCCGCAAGACGATATTTTGTGTCCCCTTCTTGACATCAATAAATAAGTAGTCAAAGTGTGGCCCTCAAGTTTTGCTCACACGGACCTTTTTACCGAGATATTGCCCTGGACATGTATAGTAGAAATCGTTTATGGGGTACCATAGCTCAGGCTAGTTTTACTTTTGTTTATTATGCATGAAAATTGTGTTTTTTTTCCTTAATAGAATACTTATTACGGTCCATACTCATTGAGAATCTACTACCAGTGGCCCTCGGATAATTTGAGTATTTTAACCCCTGTAGAAAAAAATCAACAACCAAAAACATAAGTAATTTACCCTCCTGATTTCCTTCCTCGTCTTGTTTTTCATATTCTTATCTTCCTTTCTGTTTATGTTTGTTTTAGTCGTCTTTGCCTTCCGCACAGTTTTCTGATCCCCGTTTTCCCCTCCCATTTACATTTGAGTCGCTAAATTCGGTATGTCTTCTGTTGTGCTGTTGTTGCCTGTCGCGTGGTTGACAGGTGTTCAGGTGAGATTCTCCCCTTCTCCTTCCTATTCAGTGTTACTGTTGCCCTTATCTGTTTCCAAGCTCTTCCTTGATAAAATTCCAAGTGAGGGCAACTTTGCTGACCTCAGCCCTTTCACTGTAAGGGATTCCCGTCGTGCTCAGACACCGGGGAATACTGACTTTCTAGTACTATTTGTTTAAACGTCTGAACATATTCGTGGGTTTTGACTTGCATTCCAGTATGCACAGACAGTCAAGGGTGATGTGTAAAATTAAGACGTTAGTGGTAAAATTAAATAGATCTGTCCTTAAGTGCTACCGATCAATAAGTTATATGTATTTTTCTCCCTAGTGGAAGATCTGCTGTTTGTCAGTCGGCGAGTTATTCTAGAAAATATATTTGGTCACTCTCCAATCTGGGACAACTGGCATCCAGGTCTCACGTTTTGCCCACTATTGCCACCTCTCGAGAACACCGACCGGTGTCCATTACATCTGACTGACTGACCTACTTTCAGCATAGACCAGTAGAACCCGTGGGATAAACAGGTGGCCATGGGAAGCCGCAGGTTGGTCAGCGGTTCTGTGGACCTCGTGTTATATCACAGCTCGTTGCTAAGTGTCGCTGGTTGTCATTTACGATTCTAATGGTCCCTCATAATAGTCATTCCAAGCTTTGAACTGAAGTAGAGCCTCATTGACAATGTCAGGATGTGCTTTTGTTTGTCGCGTAATCAAGTCGGTTCCCAGACTTGTCGTTGGTCGGTCATTGAGTACTTGTAGTAAATCGTATTGTCGGTGTTATTATTTCTAGAGTTTGCTCCTGAAGTTTGCCTTTTTTTTAAAGAGTACGGTTTATCTTGTGCGTGGTTGGTAGGCCCCACTAGCAGGCCCACTAGCATACGTCACTATCACTTGTGTTTCACTTCCTCCCCCCCCCCCCCCCCCAAACCCACCCTCTGTGTCTGTCTTAAAAAAAACCTGTCACGCTCTCTTACACTTCCACTCAAAGACTCTTTTGTCTATGTTTGTATGTTTTGCGTTTAACCAGCACCAAATAGTAGTTATTGGTTCGATGTGCTTCTCTTTACTCAAAGTCAAGTCAAACTGTTTTTCAGCTCTATCACGGTAGTATGGTACGTTGTATTGCTAGTTTGTTTGCTTCTTTTCCCTGTTTTATTAAATTTCAAACTTAGTTTCTATAATATCTAATACAATAGATGGTTCTATCCGACTGTTGCTCATTAAATTATTAAAACATGTCATTGTATATTATGTGTCTTATTAACCTGTAACATGTTTTTATAGAGTCATAGGTTGTACGTTAGGGGCACATTCCACACTCTGCCTCTGATACCTGCCAACATATTTTTAGATGAGGTTCCGTGGAACACAGAAGCATGCATTCCAAGTTTATTCTCTCTGTTTCTCTACTGCGTGCATCTTTTCTTTACCCGACGTTTCCTCATCAGTGTCTGTGCCTTTTTTCTTTCCATCTAATGTGGTAGTTATGAACTAGAGTAGTAGGGGCCAGTTGGCTGAAAGCCTGCTTTTTTATTACATCTCACTTCGTGTAGCTTGCATCAACGATTAGACCTTTTGAAAGGCTTTCAGACTCTCAGGATGTTCGTGGGTTGTGCGGAGACGCTCGGAGAAGACATGGGGTCTCAGAAGTCGCGATTACGCTTTACTCCGTGACTTTGTGTTGACCATAGGAAGAAGTAAGGAGTAAGTTTAGTTTAGTATATAATTTTACGGCGCTCGCAACTGCATAAGGTCATATGAGCGCGCCATCAGTAAGGAGTAAAACGAAAACTGATCCTTAAAGATCCTTAAAGCCCTGTGACCAACCAAATCAGCTGAGTTCAATCTCTTTAATTAATTTATTCTTTTCATTAGCTCTTTCCTTTCGTTCACCCCCCTCGTTATTTCAGTTGGGTTGGTGGTTTACGCTCTAACGTGATCTCCCCCCCCCCTCCCCCGACGACCTGGTCTTTCTGTTGTGCGAAATGAGGCCGTTATCGTGGTACCTCCCCGTAAACTGTATCTTCACTTCATTCATTCATTCATTCATTCTTTCGTTCATTCATTCTAACACGGAGCCGTTCCCTTTTCATTGGACTCTCCCTATTTCCACCAATCGTCTTTTGTTTACCCACGTCGTCCTCCATCCGTCCATGAGAGATTGGCTCAGTGACAGTACGCTGGGTTTATTGTCCGCGCCACAAGTGTTTGCTAGGATTGTGAGGGAAATGAGTGGACGGGGAATGCAACAAATGGGGTGAAATTTGGAGACCAATATGTACGATAAAACAGGTCAGACGGAACCCGCCTTCAGTGACGTATGCGGCCATGAGACCCGGTTGTGTGGTCAGCGTCGTGTGGTGTCCCGCCGTAACCACCTCCCTCTACCATCGGGAGGATCGTCTCGAGATCTAGGTCAGGGGGAGTTTAGCCCAGTGACCACGATTAGGCCTAGGATTGGCCTCCTCTTTGTGAAGCTTCAATGGTTCTTCACGACCGGAATCAGGTGTCCTGTTTACCCTTTTTTTTGCTCGTAGCCGACAGGGCTGCCCTCTAATTTTCCTGACCGCATAAAAACCGCCTATTGAATTGAGTCACGCGCCGACTTCAGGAAGCTATGTGGTGTCAGGAGAGGCATGGATGAGTTAAAGCCGAAGGAAAGAGTCGCCAAAACCCCCGAAAGCAAAATAAATCAAAACAAAACACAAAAAAACTCAAAACAAATGTACACAAAAGAACGGCGTGACGAATGTTGCGATCTCGAAGACAGGACTCCGTGTCCCATAGAAGATGCTTTGGCGCTTACCTGTTGTTGTTCCATACAGAATATGTAAATTGGAAGGGCGGATGCTTAGTTCTGTCAGAACAATAGATTGAAAAGAAGACCATTTCCAGATAGACGAAATATATATTGCCCGCATTACCGCCGAGTACTTCTTTAACCGCTACAGCGGCCTGTTCAGCGCCATGGAGACGTCACTTACTGTTGAGAAACTAGTCCGGGAGAATTTTCTCGCATAATCAAAACAGGAGAAGGTCAAAATTTGAGTACAGGTGCACTCATCAGCCGATAAGATCAGGGATCAAGATGTTTGTTTCAGTATTAATCAATCACAGTTTAGGTCATGTGTAGTTGTTGATAACCACGGGGCGGGGGTCTGTATGCCTTTCGTTTTTGTATATTTCTGAACTGTACAACACTCCGGATTCCATCCGCAGGCATCCACCTCGCTATGTGGATAAAACAGTGGTGGTTGCCCCCCAAAAACGTTTACGCCAAGACAAGATCAGTATGCACTGACGGGGTCAGCTAATGCACGTTGTTTATGAAACACGAATGCCTTATCTACTCCCATAGCATAAATGCTCTCTCCCATGAAGTATTTTTATCCTGACTCACACGGCTAGGGAAAAAGGCGAAGGTGTTTTTATGCTGCAAAAAGCACGAGTAGCCCCCAAACCCCTAACAAAAATGTAACTAACAGACAGGAATGTCTGTTTACAATATCTGTCGAGAAAACTATTATTTTCTGCCGACTCTTTTTTTTCCACTGCATACAAACACCTTTACGCATGAGATGCCAAGCGGGTAATGATTTTTCTGTATGCAGAATAAGGTTCCAGATTGTCCCGCGATTCTGAACAACTGTATCGCAACGTTGTTTTTCATGCTCATTTCCAGTGTACTGAACTTCAATCAAAACGAGTTATTGAAGACATAATGTATATTCATGTATATGTTACGACGACAATTGAAAAAAAAAGACAATCTTGAAGCAGATGTAGCAGAACAATAACTGGCATAATATCCACACAACTGAAGAACAATTCGGAACAAAACAAACAAGCTTGCAAGCTAACAAAATAACAACAAAAAACCAAAGCAAACAAAACCAAAACAACAACAACAACAAAAACCCAACAAAATACAAACACCACCCCTCCCCCCCCAAAAAAACCAACAACCAAAAACAAAACAACCCCACCATCAACCAAAAAACAGAAAACCGAAACGAGAAGACTCCTCCCCGGCGACCACCATATTATTATGTGGTCACATAATCAGGCCGTATTATGTTTAGATCTATTGACAGGGCGGCGACTGCTGCAAACTCTTACAGAAAATAAACTCTTGTAAGAGACAAAAAGTGATTTGCAAGATGAAGGATAATAATCGTTTTTTTTATTCTTTTCCCTTTCAGAGAGGCGTTATTCAGATTGGAGTGGAGAAGTACTATGTGGAGCCAGCGAGGAATTCCTCCGCAGAACATGGAGTCGAGGCCTCTGTTTCATCGAACATCAACACCTCCTCGTCCTCATCATCGTCGTCATCGTCAGGACCACCATTTTTGTCTTCATTGCAACACCAAAGATATGTCATTACTAGATTTCCTGCCAAAAATTTCCAGTCGTCTTCTAGCTGTAGTATTACACGTAAGTGTTGGCTTGTTTATATTGTCGGAATTATGCGTTTGTGCACAATGCGATCGTTTGATGTTGTTGTTGATGTTGTTGTTGTTGATGTTGATGTTGTTGTTGTTGTTGTTGTTGTTGTTGTTATTGCTGTTGTTGAAAGTCGTTTCTTAACGTCATGTAATGATAAAATCGTTGGTGACTGATTTTGTAATAGTTCTCAATTACAGGCCATTGTCATGATTCGTCACAATTCATTAGCCAAACGCCTGTCTGCTTTCACTGTAAATTATATGTTTTAAAGAGATAACACGAGTTAATGGGTCAAATATATTGCTTCATAATCATAAGTGTAGTACTACAGTATTGTTCCTATAAAACACTGAAAAATGGGGCTTTGCTAATTAATGCTGCCGCCTTTTGTTCAGCTATTTTCGTGAACTGGAGGTCTTTATGTACACAGCTCATCATCTTTCTTGAACAGAAAACAAATTTTTAGTATAATTACATTTTAGAATGGATGTTGGCTTGTTTGGGGAATCGTTGGTGGCCAGCCATACGTTCCTCGGAACTACAGTGTATGAGAGTTCCCGTGTTAGGATAATGTGTCATTGTACGCACGTCAGATTCTTCTGTGCATTTCTTCATTGAAAGAAAATATGTTTGGACTTCTGTGACTTTACTGCTACTGCTACTGCTGCCATTGCTGCTACTTCTACTACCACTAATACTACTACCACTAGTTCATCGTAGGGCAACAGTACTGTTATCTATTTAAATAGCCCCACTTCCATCCCTGGAGAGATTCTGATAACCGGAACTCGAACAGTACCCTCCAACCCCCCTCCCCCGCCCGAAAAAAAGACCCACAAAAAGCGTGTTCTCGGGTGCCCTGGCAGGTCTATGGCGGTAAATGGCCCGTGCCCTAGTCACAGTAGCGATGAATTACAAGGGTGCTTTGGTTTGATCAAGGATAAGCCCGCCGTGCGTCGGCAGCACACTTTTGTTATTGAGATCACGCGTTCAGTATCATTCAGGGTTCAGATAGGGTCTTCGGGGGTTCAAACAAACCGTGCTGGACTCAACATCTTTTGAGAGGGTCGTAGGAACAGCATGATATGGACTAACTTTACATGGTTTGGGATTTGGATGCTTTGATAAAAAGCTAAGAGTGTCATCTCTAATGACCGACGTTTACCCTGAGTTGGCAGGTTTTAATAGCATGGGGCGGCTGTGTTTAGTTTTGTCCTTTTTGGAAGCATTTTATGTCTGTCTGTCTGTCTGTCTGTCTGTCTGTCTGTCTGTCTGTCTGTCTGTCTGTCTGTCTGTCTGTCTGTCTGTCTGTCTGTCTGTCTGTCTGTCTGTCTGTCTGTCTGTCTGTCTGTCTATTGTCTGTCTGTCTGTCTGTCTGTCTGTCTGTCTGTCTGTCTGTCTGTCTCACACACACACACACACACTCACACTCACACACACAAACACACACACACACACACACACACACACACACACACACACACACACACACACACACACACATACACACGTGTGCGCAACTAGATCGGAACGTAATACGTTTTATTTACTTGTCACTTGTTTGTTGTGAGTGTGGATCGTATTTGTGGCGTCAGTAGTCTAGTGGTTAGACTACCGGACTCGTGAGGTTGCGAGTTCGAGGCTTAGAGCCCCAGGCTCGACATTGTGCCCATGGGAACGGAATTTTCCTCACTTCACCCAGATGGGAAGGGTTGCCTATCCATAGACAGCGCAAGATTTCATCAATATGTTAGTGTTTTAGCGCTTAAAAATTGTCAGGTTGTACTGTATGCTTCCCAGGAAGTTCAGATCGTTTTGCAATGCTGTCAGGTCTGCTTGGGTAATAATATAAATTGTAAAGCGCAAATAAGAGCTTTTTGTTGAGCTGGAATTTATTTGCGCGACTTATGCTAGCAGTATTGGTGGGATTATTCAATAACTCGAATCGTTATTCCTCACGAAAAGTCTAGTCGATACTTTAGCGGACTCGTAATCGTGAGATTGCGGGTTCTGTGGCTCGAGGCTCAGCTCGGGCTGACGTTGTGTTCTCTGGAAAGGCACTTTATTCAAACTTTCACATTCAACACGGTCCTATCGGAGATAAACGTAAATTTGGGGCCCCGCCTCTTGAATAACGCCTAGTCTTGCTAGGGCCGTGAAACCTATACAATTTCTCTCTTTTTTAAAAGGAGGCGTTTTTTTAATGATGCACATTGCCTTTTACAACGGTTATTTCGTACCACGCACCAGTCGCAGTATGATGACCACCGAGAGGAGCACAAACGATCCTCAGTACAAGTCTGTCAATGTATATAAAAACTTGATCATAACGTTGTTCTTGGTGAATTTCTAGTTTGATAAGTGTTCAACGACGGGTCTGACTTCTACGCTGAGGACGTGCATTCTAGTAATTCAACAACGCTTGAAGGCGTGCACTTTTGGGACATTTTAAAGAAGGAAGCATCACTTTGCTATTTAGGCGGATTTTTCAAATCTGTTTTCTTCATCTGAAAGTTACAAAGGCAGGCAACAATATGCATACTTTGAAAAATGCATATTCGCGTTTCTGATTACTGTATGATGGTTCAAAATGTTCCGCATCATTAATGATGATCAGACTTATTTGTTCGCTGCGTCCTTAAAGAGTAAAGCTTTCCCCTATGTGTTGAAAGAGACGAAGAGTGCAGGTAGCAAATCAAGCACAAAGTTTACCAGTCTGTGTCAAAATGTGGTACCTTTGTGTGCTTGCCAAGCGGAGTCTAAAGGAGCGCACTTACCAGGCTGGGCTCCCATTCCGGCGGCAACATTTCTTAACAATTTTATCTCGAAATTGTTTATCTGTACTTCTCAAATTTTGAACACAGAGAGTACTGCCATTTTGCATTCGCCTTTTCTGCGCTTTGGTGCTGTCTGCTTGTATTATCGTGTTCTGGGCCATTGATAACTATCTCTTCCAAGTGCTTCCTTTCAGCCCTAGCTTGCGTCACTAAAGAGTAAACTTGCCGCTACCTTTAAGGCACCGCGCCAACCTTGTTCCGGTTAAAAAGATATTTCGTCATCGCCAGCCGTCGGCACTGCTGTTTCTGTGACCCAAATCTAGACTTGCCATCAATGACATACGAGCTGGCGTTCCACAACTTCGTGCAGCCGTGAACAGAAGACCACCTCTAATGTTTTTGTTTTATCTTCTGCTTTTCTTTTTTGGTAAAACCCTTTTTTTTGGTTTAGAAACGTGCTTCTTGAATTACGCAGACAGGCAGGAATTCACGTGCACTCTTTTGTATTGCACGTGATCTGTGTTTTTCTGGTGTTCGCTTGGTTGGAGGAGTGTCTTTGTTTTTAAATCTCTTGCTATTTCTGCTTAATGGTTTGTTTTCGAACATGGCTATGGCCAGTGCTTGTGTTTGCCAGCTTCTTGTAAGTCCTTGACTTATAACTCACCTGGTCACTGTTTGTGGACTCTAGCCAAAAAAACAACAACAAGATAATATTATATTGAAATATAATATTGTCATGACCTCTAGGAAAACCTATTCACGTAAGCACCGAAAGTTGTAGCACTAGACAAGTGCATATGGAACTTGCATTGTGTCCTTGGCGGATATTTTGCCGTCTAGCTTGAATTTAGCAGGTGGTTTGTTGTTCACTTGGGTATAGTTACCCTCCACCCCCCTCTCTCTTTTCTCCACAACTCTAGCATGTCCATGGGTCGAGTCTGTCTCGTGGCTTGTACTTTGTCAACTTCGGGCCGTCGTTGCCTTTTTCTCTTTGGATATCTGTGGTGAACCGTTTGCACTCCCCATGTTGCGGCGGAAGTTTTGGATTTTCAGCAGCTCTCCACTATTTGGTCCTGGGTTTTTCCCGGACAGGCTGCACGCTTTTCTTATTGTTTTTTACCACGTTCGTCTCAAAGCGGACACCTGCAGGCACCGTGGAGAACTTTTGCACATTTTCTCATTCTTGGCGGTTGCAGATGTCTTCATCTGCTGCAGTTCTCATAAGTTGATAGTTTTCACCAAACTGTATTCGCTTAACCCGTTTCAGTCTATCCTTTGTTTGTGGCTCTTCCTTCTGATCTCACCGTACATATGTCTCTCGTTTTCTTTCCTTTCCTTCTCGTGTTCTTACTTTTTGTCAACCCCCTCCCTTTCCCCTTTTTTTTCTCGGTTAGGGGTGTGTGCTGTGTGCTCCCTCAGAGGATGGCCAGTGGTGACTTTGCAGCGCCTTCCCTGCTATTTACAGTGTCACTATTGTGACAATCTGTCTTAAGGAACATGTGGTTGTTATATTGTCCTAACACTCCATAACTACACTGTCCAATCGTTCTATGTGTACGCATGTTTGAGTTATTTGTGTTTACGTGTTTCACTCTATTCCATCTCTCTTTCTTCCCCACGTGCAGGAATCTCACATCAGAAAAGAACCACTTTATCCTGACACCATTTTGGAAACGAAGCTCTTTGTTTGTGTCGTTGTCGCCCCCCTCCCCCCTCTCCCCCCAAATTTCCTCTACATGTGCGAGAGCGTTAAGTGTGGTGCGTGTCTGTGTTTCGTCACAATGTCTTCGCCATCTTCACGGACGCACCCCCCCCGGTAGTTTGTCGTTACCCAGATACTATTACGAAAAGAAACAAATGCTCGAATGTATCCGTATGTCTTTCTGTCGATTTTTGTCCTACTATTGTGGAGAGTAATATTGTTTCGAAACAAAACAAAACTAACCATACACAAAATCTTATCTCATATCAAAACAAACAGAGGAATAAATATTGAAAGTGTAAGAAGACCGGCCTACCGAGGGGACGGGAAAAATGTAAGCATCTGTAAAATCTCCGCGCCAATTGTTGTGGCGTCACCGGCCGAACTCTTGTGGGACGAATGGAGCGGTCGTCGGGAAAGAGGGCTCACCGGCTGCTACATCTGCCTGGGAACAAGGCAGCAGACTCGAGTTCCACGGTTTATTATTCCTGGCTCTGGCATCGGCGTGACTCGTGTTTACCGCGTTACGCTTCGCTTCCGCCGGTGACGAGAGCTGTTCAAGAATAAGTGCTCATAGCTATTGGCTTAGCAGCAAAGTTAAAACAAGTTCAGTACTTCTGAAGGTTTGCCAATCTTTCCCTTAGAAAACCTTTTTTGTTGATGTTGTTTAGTGGTTATTGCAAAATGCGGGCGCCTTTGTGCCGTCATGTCATTAACCCCCAAGTCAACGCCAAGGTTACAGCTCTACTCAGTAATATATTCATATTATCATTTTGACCTTACTGAACTATGTTTCAGCTTCTTCACTATAAGCATATTGTAAGTCGATAGCAGTCATTTGCCCTGCTATAATGGTTTATTTTTTTGTCGTTGAGGTTTTTGACCACAGATTGAACTCAGTGCAGGTCGTTCCGAAGGCGTCGGTCTTCGTCCATCACCCGGACATCGCACTGAAAAAGAAATGTTCTCGAACGGACACGAGAAAAAAAGGCAACGACCGTTGTGGGGCGGTTAGGTGCTTACCCGTCGCATGCAGAAGCCGCAAGTTCGATTCCCGTGTGGGGGGGGGGGGGGGGGGATTTTTGTCTTGATCTTTCTGTTGGGGCGTTGTGCCTGGGTTGGACATGACGGGCAGGATCGAAGCCGCCTTCTAAACTATCTAAAATGTGTCGATAGGGGCGTAAAAGACTTACTTCTGTCTGGGAAAAAGGAGACCTCGTTCGAATTCCACCTAAAAACGTCAACCACTTGTATCCCATTTACTGGCTCCAACGGGTCAGCGTTACTGGAAGCGAATTCCGTGCGCAGTATCCTTAATTAGTGAGCGTTCCACGGCGTAGCAGAGAAGTAAATATTCTTTTGGTGAAAATTAAAACGCAGGTTCCATCGTTGTTGGTTTCCCTGTCCCCGTGGCCCTATAGACACAACCCTTGTGAGGCCAGGCCAAACAATGGAGAATGTTTCCATCTGTTACATCTCATGGGGCTGGGCACTACTTTCTTCTCGACTTACAGAATGGTACTTCTCTCTGTTCTGATATCCACCTTTACCGTCGCTCTCTCGCCCCTCTCCCTTTTCTCTCACCGTGTATGAATGTATAAATATATAAACATATATGTATGCACTTGTATAATACGCATGTATACAGTAAAGGGCGACGTTTTTCTGTCCAGTAGTCTTCACTGTTGTGGATTGTCGATGAGTACTCCGGTGTAGTTTGTTCATTTTCTTTTCAGTAGTACTGTTATCCTTGCATTCTCTGGCAAACGGTGCTGTTATCTTCTGACTTATCAATCATACTCAATACAAATCACTTTTGGTGTAGCATGTGTTTTTAGAATTTGTTTTGCTGAAAAAAAATGATAAACAACTTGGCTCTTGTTTCTCGCTTTGTATACATTCTTTTCAGGAACCCCCCCCCACCCATAGTACAATATGTAACCCTCCCTTTTCTTTCTTCTTTTTTTGTCCACAGAAAATTTTAAGCACCACAGATTAAAGCAATGGCTGGACGACATAGCTCCCAGCACAAGTTATGTAAATAGTTCCCTGTACAAACATTCTTCTAGAGGGGAGAGCGAGCGGTCACAGAGTGTCCACGGGGGACACAGGGGACAGCGGAGAAGGAAGCGCTCAGTGGGCGTCTCCCGGAAGCACACCGTGGAGACGCTCGTGGTGGCGGACGCCAAGATGTACCAGTACCACGGCGAGGACACTGAGCAATACGTCCTCACGCTCATGTCTATAGTGAGTAGTCTTGATTTGTTGTCTCTTCTCTTGTGTGCGTATAGTGAGCAGTCTTGATTTGTTATCCCTTGTATTGTGTATCTATAGTGAGTAGTCTTGGTCAGTTGTCACTTTTGTTGTGCAACTCTTACTTTTACGTCTGCAGTAGGGAGAGAAAGAGTTGTTTTTTTGGAGAGGGGG